CCCACCGCCGCCACAACTCCCCTCAACGCCCCGCGCATGCGCAGCGCCAACCAACAGCCGGTTGCCGTGGTAACGCCGTAGGCCGCCTCTAAGTATGAACGGCCATTCTGTGTCCGGGCTGACAAAACCCGCAGGGGGAAGCGAAAGGGAAATGCATGTTTGACCTTCCTCAAGATGACAAAACTCCGTTGGAGTTTTTCTATCTCAAGCAAAGGAATGTTTCCGAGGGTATTGTGAACATCGCACGAGGAGGAAAAAAGCCAACCCCCCCCCCCCCCCCCAAAAAAAACAAACAGAAATCAAAGGAAATTCTGTAAATACAGTTTTGGTGATGTAAAGAAACTGGTTAACTCTGTGAAAAAGGAGCAAAAGTATTCAAAAAGTATTCCAACCCAGAAAAACACGTTACCGTAAATATTAAACAAAAAGCCCAGCCACATCGCCGCATTCCCAACCCTGTTACACTAGTGTTCAAACTAACACTCAAACCACTAAAAACCAACCAAACCCAAAGTTAACTCCTGTACTGCTCCTAGATAATGTCCTTCACACCAAACAGCTTTAACAGGCACTGTGTATTACTTATGATCAGATCACTACTTATCATAGAATCACAGAATGGTTTGGGTTGGAAGGGACCTTAAAGCTCATCCAGTTCCAACCCCCCTGCCATCAGCAGGGACACCTTCCACTAGACCAGGTTGCTCAAAGCAATTTCTAATAGTTTACTCTGTCTTTTTTTAAAATCAAATTACTCTAAAACCAAGTTACCTTTTATATAAACTACATATGAAGTACAAAATGAAAATACAAAGTTACTTTTACTTCAGGTTAGATTATTACTATTAGGTTCAGCATCAACTTTTGGTTTATGTCTCTCCTTTTGACCCAGACTCTCTGTGTCTTCTCTGCCTTGAATTCTTAATTTCTGCAATTTGTCTCCAATTTCTGCAATGGATAATAAGAGGCAATCTACCACTGCTCACAAATCCCAGTAAAAACAGCTAGCAAAGGGAAGATCAACAAGTCTGAATAAGAAGTTGAAGCGCAAGAGTAAAATGCTGGACAGTGCAGGATCTTCAGGCACGCAGGTGGCTCAATTATTTGAAGAATGACTGAAATTGCCCAGACTCACCACTACTTCTTCGGTTTTCTCTTCTCTTTTTTCTTCCTCTTCATCAGTTTCTGCAGCAGCTCCATCTTCCTCATCGCTGCTAGAAGACTCCAGAATTTCACTTATGTCCATTTTCCAGTTCCGAGGAACACCCTTTGTATTGAGAAACGCGCTTGCCTCCTGTAGCCCTACAGAAGAAAGGGCCCTGGTTTTACCTCATCCACAGTATTCACAATCACAAAGCTTTTGTAATTTCCTTTTCACCTTCTTGTAAATTACAATGCCAACTTAAACCAAAAAATGGAAACGAGTGATAAAACAGATACTTCAGCTTTAAGCATTCAGTCTACACACAATTGAATATCGGCAACTCAAGTAGTTCAGAGTTGAGAACATCCACCTCACACACAACATCCAGTTGTTTTCTAGGAATAGGTCCCCATGAACGCTACTAAGATTTACACCTGTGTATGTGAACAGTACCAAAGATAAGCATCTATACTTAGGCACATATATTCTGTGCAACTGTTCTTTTCTAAATATCTTCATGTCTTAAAAGTTTAGATTGCAAAAAAATACAAGTATTTTGTTTAAGAGCGTTGCCTAAAGAGATGCTCCATTAATGTTTGGAACAGAGGAAAAATACACTAGTGATTAAGGGAGTGATGGGACAGGGAGAAGTCACACTTGTACAAGGGGAATACCTCAAATTCTTTTCCTTGAAGAGGTGCTCCAAGGGGCAAACCAACAAAGTAATGCAAACCTAGATAACCCCAAAACACACCTCCCAGTCACAATAAAAGCCTCTAATAAAGAGGACCGTATTGCAATGAACCATGCACAGTGCTGCTGCAGAAGAAAAGGCAGCGGTTTTTAACAGCTGCTGACAAAGTAACCTCCAGAAATCTGTCTGAACTCTTCTTGAAACCATTGGTACCTTTGGTTCCACAATATTCCCTCATGGCAATGAACATCACCACCCAATTACGTTCTGCATGAAAAAAATCCCTTTCTTCAATTTATCTTAAGCCTGGCACCTGATTTTTTTTTGACTGTTCTAAAGTTCTTGTACTGTGAAATAGTTATTAAGAAGAAAGTATATGAGAAATCATTCAGAATTACAGGAATCAATCAAAACCACATCAAGCTCTTATTTGTAAGTATCATATTAAATCCTTACTTGTCAAGGAGCTGTTCCACACTTTCACTCAAACTGGAGGAAGTTATTGTTGTTGAGTGGGGGTTTTTTTGTTGCTGTTTATTATTATTTTTAATAAATACATTTAAAATATTTATCCTTAACAAATTTTTTGGTTTGAGGTCTGATTGGGAGAAACAACACTAGAAGTTTAAGAATTATGTATACTGAAGTGAGAATATGGCCTTTTACAAGCTCACTAAACCATGGATTTTTGTGGTCACATCATCCATCCATCCATCCATCCATCAGGTTCTGTAATTAGACTTTTAAATCAAACATTAACCACGGGCAGGCTGTTCTAATAATGTTTACACCTTGCCATCTGGGTATTTTTAATGTAAAGGCAGAGAATTTTGAGCAATAGCACTGTTTCAATGACATTCCAAATAGACAACCTGGAAAATATTGTATTAACTTATCACAAATTTGGAGTGGATCAAAAGAATGAAATCAAATTCAAATAAACAAGACTTCTACCAAGTGCTATTTTAATATTAATGCAGCTATATCCAAGGTTTCTCCAATTTATCACATTTAAAACTGTTTGCAAAATATCCAAGCAATTATCAAAAATCACCAGGTGATCATTTATTTGCAAAAGTTAAAGGACTATTGAACAAGATTGCTTTTTTAAAACACCTAGAAATTATTCTAATTTACCTTTTTTAGGAGAGGACTCAGATTTTGGTAAGTTTTGAATCTCCAGTTCTTTAATGTCTTTTCTTGCTACTGAGTAACTGAAAAAGAATAAGGTTCTGTTATTACTTTTAAATCACAGTAGAGGAAGCGTTTGACTTAGAAAAACAGCAATTTCTAAAATTTTCAAGATTTATCATTCACTTTCAAGGTCCTTTCTAATAACTAAAAGCATAAGGCATTTGTTATTGTAGGTCCTAAAATAAGATTCAAACCCAGAGTAAGTTTCCATTCTTTCTTTGAAATTCAGACACTAGATGAATCCTTATAATTAAATAATTAAGAAATATTGGTAAAGCTTCTTTATTTGAAATGTTTAACCTGCACCAATTTGCAAAGGTAAAACACGTTCACAAAAAACATTCTCTAAATTGAAAATATTCACATCAATCAACAGTTGCTACTCAAAACAGCAATCAGCTACCAAGAAAGAAACAAGCCCTGTATTTTCAAAATGTATTTCTACTAGCACAGAGTAACAGTGAAGCCAAATTCACATATCTGCTTTGATAAATAGTTGATTTCTATTTTTAAATTACAAAAGTGTTTTTCACAGCAAAACATATGGAAGTTGCTCTGTTCTAAAGTTATACAAAATATTCAGTTACTGAATTACTACAATAGAAATGCTAACCAACCTGCAAGGAAAGCCTTACAAGTGAGTTTTATTATAATAAGATTTTTTTTTTTTCTTCTTTCATTATTTCAGAAAAACTGGAGTAAAACCTCAGGAATTGGAGGCCGCCATTTTCTGAAGTTAAAGCCATAAGACTATGGGGAAAGAAAAGTAAAACAGAGCAAGTCTGCAAGCTTTTCCAATAACATTCCACCTTCAGTATATAAAGAACCAGACTTATCTGGAAGGCTGAGGATACATGTCTACATCAAGAGGCCAAAATTAATTAAATCTTCAGTTACTCAAAATACGTTTCAGTAATCAAGTACTTGCACCCTACCCAAAATCATGGCTATTAAAAAGAAAATTAAAAAAAAATCACAAATTGTTCACTTTGAAAGAAAGAGGGAAACAGGGGTGACAGCTGGTCTTTGAGAAGGAAGTTTTTAGTGACACTATGCTGAGACAGATGCATTAGAAGTAAGAATGAAGAGAAATAACAGGAAACAGCTTTAAAAAACAGTCTTCATATTATTTTGAATACATTATTCCTTAAGACACACATCTCTCTCCTTCCCCCCCCTTTTTTGGGGGGATGGACTAATAGGACCTATCTTACTTTTCACAGGAATCTTAATTCAGACTCTGTAAAAATTTTAATTAAACAGTTACTTTACATTCATTATTTTATTAAAAAAGTATATTAAACACTTTTAAACTTTTCTATTTAAACAGCCATGGGCATCTGGGCACTGGAGGTAATGAGTCAATTGGATATCCAAACTACTACAATAGACACCCATAAAGACATAATTAAGACATTAAGGGAAATAATTAGAACCAAAACTCACACTTCAAAGAGCAGGAATCATCTAAAGCATTAACACCCATTTTTTTCCAAAGTTGTTGATTTTTTTTTAAATGAAGAAACTTCACTAATCCAATGAACATTACACAAAATTACACCCTTTCCCTTTGGAAGAAATAATGTCTTCAGAAACAACATGTAATTAGTTTTGCATTCCTCTCCCATCTACATCTAATGAAAGGAAGCTATTACTTACAATTTGGAATCTGCAAAGGATCGAACTAAACACTGGTCCTTTTTCACTGTGACGTCGTCATTACAGCTGGGAGACACAACCTAAAGTTTCAAATAAAACACTCTTTTTAAGCAAAAAAAAAAAAAAAGGAAGAAAAAAAAGAAGAAAAAAAAAGCTGATCTTGAAAGGAAGGGAAGATGGACAGCAGGAAAACTGCTATTTCCCTGTTTCCTTCTAGTTCCAGTTCTGAGAAAATAAACCTACTCCAACTTGTATTACTGAGGCCAACGATGACAAATTTCCAGCTGCAGTTTACCTCAAACTATTAACTTTACTTGCTCTGTACAAGCCAGAAAAGTCTGCAATATCATTTGTAAACTCAAAACTAATCTACTGGAGTGACATCATGGGATCCTGCTTATTCACTCTGCTTTTTTTCTCTTGTTCATACAAAACCTGCTTAAAGCATCTATTTAAAAAGACAGAAACCCACTTATTTTATACCAGTTTCTGATCTTTGGCATTCAAACGCAGAGGTAAATAGCTTCTTGTTTTGTTTTGGTTTTTTTTTGAGGTGTGGATAATATAAGCTCTTAGAGTGATACAGCAGTATCACCTCTGAGTCTAAAAAGGTGATAAAAATGCATTTGCCATGTCTGTATTACCACAGAACAAGTTTACATTTTGCTCTAGACCATATACAGACAGAAAATATCAAATGCAGCTGAACTTCTGGATCTACCAGGACTCAGTGGAAGCTGTGTCACCCCATTCAGATGAGTCAGAAGTTTTACTCCAAAAAAACAAGATAAGACATTCCTGTTTCTCAGGTAGCAGAGAACAGAACAGGTACATGGCCTCCAGTAACTTAATTCCCTAGTTAAAAACATGTTACGTTAAAATCTGCTGTTATTAAAGGGATATACAACAATAACAACATGTACAACAATACCACATTTCACATTTTAAACTGAGATACAAACAGCTGGATAAGTCAGTATCAACTATTCACCTTATATTACACCATAATGTTCTTCAAAGCAGGGAAGACAACTGACCTGTGTAGTGAGTTACATTGATTCATGCAGGGAAATAAAATCTTAAACCATGATAGAAAGTTCCAGCTAACTCTGAAGACTCAAAAGAAATTACTAGGGACTATACAGTTAATTAAATAAAATCTGCAAAAATCAGTGAACTAAACCTGTCTATTTAATGCTCCAAATATATATATTTTTTTAAAAAAAAACAAACACATCTCTGATGGACAACAGAAGATGCATATTCAGCTTGACATTCTGCTGACAACACTAAAAAGATTACTAAAGAAAGCAACTTTACTGTGCACCTTTAAACTTTTCTGTGTATACAGAGTGTACAAAGTGTCCACCTTCACAGTAGAAGTCTATTTGTACTTGAATTTCTTTAATATATATGTATTATCAGCAATAGTAATGAACAGAGGTATCCTGTGTTGACAGACAAATAAAAATAATAACCAAGCTCTAGAGTAACTGGCCATTTATGTAAATACAAACATGAAATAGATTAGTATTTCATAAAGTTGAAAGACTAAGGAAAAAGGCAATCATTAAACACAAAAGGATAAAAATTCGACTGCAATCACAATTCATACACCCAGTTGTTCTTAAATTGCCTGGGAGTGCAAGACCTAACGTATCATATTTTTAAGTCAAATCTTGTTACGTATGATTCATTTTGTGTGCAGTTTGGAAAGACTTAAGAGCTATAAAACTGTAACTCACACATGAACGTTAATCTTTGCTCTCCTACTCTTCATAGATACTGCAGAACATTAATATTTGTATTTTTAGCAAATATGGCCAGCAGAACTTAGCCTGACTCTATTTGCAATTTGCTGCAAAAGCTGTGACGTTTGCAAACCATCCTATCCAGGATAAGCCTTGTACAAACGATGTAACAGATGACACTCTTGTCTAAAAAGATATTAGTAGTGGGACACTAGAGATGTCAAAGTCTTAAACAACTTACCAAAGCTGGATACCAGTCTGCCTTCTCAGAATTAAAAGTCACACTCACAACTTTGCCAAGCAATTCATCATTGAGACGTCTTTTATCTTCATCCTCTTCTTCACTACTTTCTTCTTCCTTTTCATCTTCAGTACTAGATTATTAAAACATATGGTATTTTAAAGTTTGTGTCTGAAGTTAAGATTTGAAAGCAAATACAGCTTACAATCAGTTCTTTCTTCCTGTTCTGTAAAGCTTCAAAAACAAAATTAGAATTTTAAGTGCTGAAATTGCTTGAAATACACTTAAATACTAAGTGCACTTACTTAGTAAGAGGAATTTTGTAGAAATTCTTTCCAAGCAGTAGTATTTTACAACAGCATCATGTTGGAATTGGAGGCATGAATCAGGCTTAGATTATGCACAAACATGAAACAAAGAGAAATGATCTCTAGTCTAGAAATTTAAAAACACTTTTTTTTCCCTAACAGTATAAAGAAAGTTAAAAACCCTACCCTGACACATGATTTTCTATTATATGAAAGTATCAATATTCTACAAGGAAAAAAAACCATCAACTTCATAATACTGCTTCATGTCTGCATGAACTGAATTACCCAAGTCCATAAGCTGTGCACACAGCTCACATGAGTGGTTCCAAACATGACAGCTTCAATGGTACTACTTCAGTTTTAGCAAAGGACACTAAAGGGAAGGAAAATCATCAGAGAACTATCAGAACTCACACAGGAAGAGAAGATCTTCTTCCTCTATTAGATTTCTTCCCAATAACTGGAGTTCCAAAGTGCTCTGGATTGGTTAGTGGCAGTTGATCAAGTGTCTATATGGAAAAAGAGGAAACAAAATTAGTTTGCAATTTCTTATTATTATTAAAAAAGAAAAAATTTAACTACTTAGTTTTCACTGCATGTCCATCATTGTCTTACCTCACTTTCTGCAAAGTGCCTTTCTCCCTTCAAGCATAATGAAGTTCGTCTCAAGGTCCTTTCATCCCCATCATCAAAAACTAGTATGAACCCAAGAAAACACATTGGCATAAGATGATCAGATCTCTTTCCCAAGCAGACAAAACAAGTCTACTATTTATCTCACAATTTAGAATAATCTCTAAAACGTGACTTTCACGACCCCCATTTAAACATTTTTTTTTTCATTCACTGCAAAATGAAGGGTGATATTCAAGATCCAGACTAAGAACAGATAAGGTTTCCACAGAGATTCAAGTCAGTACAAAGTAAGGCTTTTGGATGCTATAGTCTCAGTCTAATTTAAATGTCCTTCTTATCAATACACTGCACATTTCAAAACATAGCTCCTGGTGCATACCTGTCACTATTACCTATCAATCTTAGGGTTTTGTTTGGTTTTGTTCTGGTTTTCACCCTATCCATTTCTCCCTTACTTACCCACCTTTTAATCTTCTCTCTTGCTACAAACAACCCCACAAAAAGACAAATGAATTGAAAGAAAAACAAGTGTGATAACACAGTATTGATAGTGTAGCAAAAACTATAACAGACTGGGAGTACTGGCAACTTTCAACTGTAAGTCTTACCAATGTATAAAGAATACTTACTAGTCATCCTGTTCTCTTAAAACTCATGTGTAAGGGAAAGGGAAGCTCCATCAATTCCCATCAATACACAGCTGGAGAAGGCTAGAATGCTGTGAGGCTATTGCAAACCTTGCCTGAGAAAGATTTACTCCTTAGTCAGTTTAAGTAAAACCTTCTCATGAAAACTTCCTTGAAGAGAGGAAAGAAAAATCACTAGTTCCCCCTCACTGGGTCAGATCCCACTGTCTGAGCCATGTGAACAGGATCTTTTCAAAGAGCAGAGACCAGGTGGTTACAGTCTGGCATTCCAGTAAGGTAAAAGTTTATTTGTATGGGTCAAAGTGCAGAATACTACTCTGTATTTAAACTATTTGAAACATGTTTTGCCCAGCAGTGAAGTTAAAAAAAAAAAGGACAAAAGTTTCAAGAGTGTATGATAATTTTGGCATACTTCTATTTAAAAAAACCCAAATAACTACCTTGAGCTAGCATAAATATCAAATATATGTGATGTGTTTTGTTAGCAAAAACATGGATTGGTTGCAGCAAGAAAATAACTCATTTTATTTGTCAAATAACTAAATAGAACAGTCACATTCTCATAACCTTAGATTAAAACCATAGACTGCAATAGTAACTATATTAAAAGGTATTATTATAAATTTAATTACTCTTGATAAGGTAGAAGGTTTCTCCATCTTCAGAGTAGAGATACTGTTGTAGGATGCTCCACTACTGAATTATCTTAATGGCTTATGTTATAATACTTGTACACACCAAGAAACTAACTTTATCCCCTCCAAAAAACCTAGTATTTTAAGACCAGCAGACACCTATATGCCTAATTACCTATACCAGTTAATAATATTTTCAAAACTTTAAAAATATAAATACCACTAAGACCCATCAACACTAAGGTCAGTACATTACTCTCAAAATCTTCTAGTTTAATTCACAGCTCGAGGAAGCCACCACTTTGCAGTAACTGGGAAAACACAGTATGAGCTTTTCCCCTCTGCATCATGAACTCAGCACTGGAACCAAGTGCAAAGACCAGAGTGCTCAAAATAATTCTGAACTTCAGTGTTGTCACAGGTTTATATTAGTAAAAAAAAAATTAACATATCCATGCTACTCCTTTGAAGTTTAAATTTCATTACATGCTCCAAACATGCCACTCATCAGCTCTCTCTGTACATGTTGATAACAATATTTCACTGGCACATTTTTAAATGGTTTGGCTGGTTATGGGGTTTTTTTTGTTTGTTTTTTTAAATGATCTGTGCACCCTAGAGTGTATGCCATTTCCCATCTGAAGACACTTACTAGCAGATTACCATCATCACCTTTTGCCCAACACATTAAGAAATAAAGTTTTCATCTAATTTTTAAGAAAAATCTACCCCACCCCGTCCATATTAGTGCCACCAAAGTACTGTTCGTATTAGTGCCACCCTATGCATGACTTTTTAATGCTAGTCCTGGAGGCTTTAAGAGAATGTCTTTTCACTGTACAGTATCATATATTAAGGATTTCATACATGTAAGCAGTAGGGCAGGTGGCACAGTTTTTGGCTATGTGATACTTTAATACTTATGGTAACAGTCATGTCAGAAGAATTTAATACACTCTCAAGCTGCAAATTCATTCCTCTTTTTAACCTCACCCAGAAGCAAGGCTGTTAAACTCTAGTCAAAATGCCTGGTACTAACAGACAAATTGAAATCTGTTAATGTTGAATAACTTGTACTAACTACTTAATCATTCCTTAAAAGGTTATTGTTACAACTCAAATTCTCCCACAGCAGAAGTTCTAGAGGCTGTATTCCACAAGAAAGAATTTACTGATCAGTTGTGTTAAAGAGGGAAGGAAACAGGAACAGAAGACAGGGAGATATCTCCCCATACACATGTAACGTAGTCATCAGAAGATGTGTTTACAACGCCACAATATTTATCTTAGAAGAGGAACTTACAATCCTGTCCTTCCAAAGAAACAAGTGTGAGAAAGCAGAAGCCCTTTACGTACTACCATTGCCTCATCTTGCAGTGGGCATGTACTTGTTGGGGAAACAGGGTGCACCAGCTGACTACTTCAGTAAATACTTCTGGAAAGAGAATTATACATACTAGAAACCTATATACAAGTATTTAAGAGTTAATTTAACAAAGTTGGAATGAGAGAAAGAAAAGCAAAGTTTCTGCTGGCCAGAGGCCTTTCTTCCAAATCTCTTGGTTAAAGACAAACACTGACAGAAGGGGAAAAAGATGACTAAGCAGCACAACCTGGAGGAACAGTCTCTGTTATAGCGCTTGTTCTAGTCCCAAGAATGGAGTTCAACATGCTCCATACAGAGCATATTTAAACAGTGAAAATAAAATTAAACTTCTCAGAATTTTGCTGCATCCCAACTGTATCAATAATAACAGGTAAGAAACAGAATTGACTTTACTTCTGGTTGTGGAAGCCTAGGCAAGCCAAAGCTATAGCAGAAAAAGAAAACCCAAGCTTCCTGGTGGGAATCAATGCAATACTTCCCCAAAGTTAGAAAAAAAATTCTCACAATTAGAGAATCATAGAAT